GTGTGTCCTATTTATTTCACTTAAGAGTATGGCCTCAATATGCATCCATTTAGCTATAAATGTCTCTATTTTCTCATTCTTTATCCCTGAGTAGTACTCCATTTTATAGGAAAACCACATCTTCTTTATCCAGTTTCCAGTCGATGGGCACTTGGGCTGTTTCCAAGCTTTAGCTATTATAAACTGTGCCGCTATAAACATAGGTGCACATATATCGTTGTGGTATGATTCTTTTAATTCTTTGGGGAAGATCCCCAGCAGTGGAATATCTGGGTCAAATGGGACCTCTAGTCCTAGTTCTTTGAGGTATCTCCATACTTCCTGTGCTCTTAAATGCTTCCTTTCTTCAGTGCTAGGCACTGTTGCATGTAGTGAGCAAACAAAAGAGACAAGGCAGCCCATCTCCTGGCTTCTTTTCCTCTTATTAGATCCAGAGGTACACATTCCTGTGGAAAGTTAACCTCTTCTGTGGCTGGGGGTCTCATTCCCTCTCATCTCTTTAGGAGGTCCCTGTTACCAACTATCTTCTTTCCTTCCTAAAAACTCAGCCACTCCTCCTGTGTCATTTCCCCTCCCTAAGTAACATCAGGCCTAAATTAAATCTAAAACAAACAGTAATACTCATAATGTTGTCCTCCTCCAGCCCTGCCTGGAACACCTCTTTTCCTTCATAGCCATCTCCTTTTTATGACAAACTAATGAAACATGTTTTGACTTTACTTAGCCATAGACGTATACATAGTTATTGAAGAAACTTGGAAAATAGATGTTAAAAAAGAAAATAAGAAGCAGGTGTACTCTAACTAAGATAATATTTAACATTGTCAGTGATTCTTACTCATAGAAACATCCCCCTACACTTAGAACTGCAAACTTTTAAACTTAAGCTTACAACTTCAAAAATACCTTGTTTCACTAAAAATTCCTTGAAACTATGATTCATACTGGCATTTCATCATGACTCTTAAAACATTTCATCATATGAAAGTACCACAATTTATTTAAATAATCCTCTGTTGTCACATATTAGGAAACTACCCAATACTTTGTTCTTAGAAATAACACTGCAATGCATACTACTTCACAAAACTTTCCATATTTCTGATTCCTTTTCCTTAAAATAAATTATGAGAACTGTAGGTTATGGACATACTTAACACTCTAGTCTTAGATAATCATATTAACCTCTAAGACTATTGTACTCATTTTTTCTGAAAAAGTTTATTTCACATCATTCTTGCCCAAACTGTGTTATTATTAAGGTGGGGGAGGGACCTGGCCAATTCCACAGGTTAAACAATGGAATCTCTTCATTTAGATTTGCTATTAATTTTTAAGATTGCTTTTCAGTGCTTATGCTTTTCATGTGCTTAATGGCAACTTGTATTTAATGTTTAATGAAATCTCCTTCATATCCTTGGCCAAAGCCAGATACTGGAAAGAGTGCTTTCTCTTTTTTGTTTTTTGGTACCAGGGATCGAACTCGGGACCTTGCGCTTGTGAGGCAGGCGCTGGAACCACTGAGCTAAATCCCCCGCCTGAGTGCTTTCTTTTTTTATATCTCACTTCCTGCAGCATGGACCCTGTTCTCACATGAAGTCCCCATTTACTTCCTTAAATGCGAAGTACTGTTGGCTTTTCAGTAGTTACGTTAGTGGCCTTGTTAGGCTTTTAGTTCCTCAAGAAATCATCATGTTTTCAGCCTCTGTGCCATTGTTCCCACTGTCCCCTCTGCAGGCAGGCCAACCCCTCCCTTTAACTGCACAGTTATTTCTTATTTCTGAAGATTTAGCTGAGACATTACTTCCATCCAGTCAGCCTTCAGCTGGTGCCCCAACCTCTGGCTTATCCTAAGTGCCTTTCTCTTCACCCCACCACAAAAATTCAACAAAACACTATCCCGTGCATACTTTCATTACTGCACTGAGGCCATTCGATGTTCAGTTCTCCGACTAGACTGCCATTTCCTTGTCAGTAGGGACCTTTTCTTATTCACTTTTGAATGCACGGTGCCAGACACAAGGGAATAACACTGTCTGGACTTCTACGGCAGCATTTGGCCTTGGTGATTATTGCCTCCTCCTCCAATGGTGACTTCTCATTGGTGTCTCACGACTCAGCCCTCTTTCTTTATTTGATCCCCAATTCCACCTTTTATCAGCCTTTAATGTTGTTGTTCCCCAGGGTTCTATCCTTGTACTTGTTTTCTTCTAAATCTCATGGATCAAATTCATCTCTATAACTTTAAGGTTCTATAAGCCACCAACACTCCAATCTCTTTCCTGAACCACAAAGCAGGTATTTCAACTTTCTTTTGGTTATTTCCACGTAGAAGTTTCTCTGGCTTCTCAAAAATCACCATGGTAAACACTGAACTAATTTTCTTTTCTCTGTAAATGGCTCCTTCTCCTCTACTCATCATCAACAAATGATGCCATTTGTTGAATCAGAAACCCGGAAGAAGATCCACCCCTCCCCTTTCTGGTATCTAACTGGTTATCTGTCCTGTAGGTTTTACCTTTCTCCATTTCTGTTGCTCTGGCCAACTTGTCTCAGTTAACGTTTCATGGTTGACAAGGAGGAAAGATGTCTTCCCAACTGTTCTCCTCAGGCCCAGGCTGTTCATTTTCCATCAATCCTCTGCATGGCTACTAGAGCCAACTTAATAAAATGCAAATTCTATTCCAGGTTCTACCTTCTGTGGAGTGCTAGGCAAGGGGCTGAAGGCTAGACTGCTGTCTTCACAAGGGTCTTCAAGAATGGGTTCCTCCTCTTTGAAGAACTCATTTCCCACAAGTACTTAGGCTTTCAGCCTCTGCTATATTCTGGTACTTACCCGAATACGAACAAGTGCTTTCTCTTGTCCCCAGGCCTTTGCCTTATACCCTCTGCCCAGAATTTCTTCCTATCTTCTGTTTGCTTACTGAACTCTTATTCACCCTTCAATTTCTTCATATTAGAGAAGCCTTCAGGGGCTCCGGTTGAGTCTGCTGTGCTCCCTATAATGTAGCCTTAACTGCTTTGCAAGTCTCCACAGCCAGGCAGTGCTGTGTCTTATTCATTTCATTCAGCGCAGAAGGACCTAGTTAGCATTCAATGGCGATTCATGACACAAACTGGAATTTATATATTATCATCCCTTCACAACCAAATGCTGAAAAGCCTTGAGGTCACTGTCTCCATATTCTCACCTTTCCCTTTCTTTTCATGTTGTACCTGTGCTTCCCTAACTGTTTCATTGACACTGTGTGGCAAAAGTCACTGATAATCTTTAAAAATAACAAATCCCAAAACTCTTTTTGGTTTTCATTTACTTGTCCTCTCTCTTCACAGCATTTGACTGTATGGGAGAACCATCTCCTCCCTTGACTTCCGAGACGCCACAGTGTGGACTCTCCCTTACTTTCTGTCTCTTCATAAGTTCTTTTTTTTTTTTGTACCAGGGATCGAACTCCGGACCTTGCGTTCCCGAGGCAGGCGGCGGAACCACTGGGCTAAATCCCCAGTCCCATAAGTTCTTTTTCTGGCTTCTTGTCTCCAGTTTACCCCTTAAGCAACAGCATCCTTAACTCTTTCCCTGGTCTACACACACTCCCTGGCTCTTCTGTCACTCCTATGGCTTCATCTACTGCCAATATGCTGAGGTTCCTACACCTGTGTCATCCTTTGGACTATCAATGAGTCCTACAGGTACCTAGAGTACAAACTTGATTAAAAATGAAATTGTCATTTTCCCCAAGGATTGCTCCTTTCTCTACATTCCCCTCTGTTACTACTCATCCAACCACCTGAGCAGAGATATCTTCCACTCACCACTTATACCCAGTAGGTAACCCTGTCCTGTGGATTCGACCTCCTGAACATGGCCTGAGTACCTCATTCCCTCTCCTTCCCTACTGTTTGTTACTTGCTTTGGCTCTTCATCCTTCCTTACTGGATGCCAGTGAAGCAGTCTCCCTCCATTAGTCTCCAGCCTTTTATTTGACCCTTAATATACAGCACCGTCAGTTCTTTTCCACAATGCAAAACTGATTAGGTTTCATTGTCTGCTGAAAGCAATGGCTCCCTCCAACCTCCGGGTTTAAATTCATGCCTTTACCTGCCTCTCCCAAAATGTTACTCACCACTCCCTCTGGATTCCCTGTTCTCCTGTAGTCTGGAGTTTCTTAATGCCATGACTCTGTTCCTATTGCTTTCTGGCCCTAGAATGACTTTCCTTTGTCAAAACTCAGCCCAAGAATCTCCTCCATATGAAGCTGTCCTAATTCTACTGTGTGTCTCTGGTCCCCTGTACAGATGTCTCACACAGCTCTATAGCCCTTGATTGGTCAGCCAGGCTGCTGAGAGCAGGCGCCTTGTCTTTTTTGTCTTGGAGTGGCATAGTGCCTGCTTGATGCAATAGTTAATAAATGAAGCATTTATCATTGCTGTGACTCCCTCAGAGAAGTGTGGGGCCGTGTTCTTGGAGGATACACCTCTGGCCCTGGTGAGCTTAAATCCACAAGCATGTGGCATCATACTAACAAGTTAGTCTACTATTATTTCCCCGGGTACCAGGAGACTGATTCAGCATTGTTTTGCTTATTTTACATGGAATAAAGTGGGGCTCAGAATCCACAGAGAAAGGGTCTCCTAGAACCCATCAAAGGTAGGACCTGAGCCTCTCTGCCTGTACCTGAAGGCACAGACTGTCTCCTACTACAGGGGGTGGGTGGGAACTCTGGTAGACGCTTACCTTGTGGACTAGAAGATCCTTTGGGCATGTGGGTTGGACCTGTTCAGAACTTCCTTTTCCACAGCACTGAAACTAGAGAGTCAGAAAAGAGACTTTAGGACATAGGATGGGGAAGCAGCAGCTCCAAGTCTGGGCATTGCTGCTAAGGACTGGCAGTGCTAAGATGGCAAAGGAGATACAAAGCCTGATCTCAGCAACCCCAACTGCTATTTCTGGAAAGAGAGTAAAGAATCACATAATCATGCTAGCAAACGAAGAAACTTTCCTAAAGCTGTCTGAGTTTTATGGCAGGAAATGACTCAAGGCAACCCAAACAAGGCAAGAAACTAATTGACAGTGTCTATTCAAATTGCTGCTTTTTAGACAGGAGTTGGGGCTTTCAGAGTCCTTCTTTCAGACTGGGAGACCATGTAACTTACTGAGGAACTAAAGTTTTATGACCTTTGGAAAGGTCTCATTATCTGGGATGCTGTCTGGGAAGGAGAGAAATGGCCACAGTAAATCCCAGGGCCTGAAAGACCAAGATGGAGGGCTGGCTAGCAGACGGTGTCTCGCCCCAGGGCTAGCCCCTTGAGACAGAGGAATCGGTGTGCTGCTTCATGTCTCTGCAACACCTTCCAAGACATTCTCATCACAGAGAAATACCAGTTACCTGGAAACACTTGGCCCAGCAGCTTGCAGCTACTTCTCCATATCACAGTGTTTAAGAAACCAGAGCAACTCTGGCCTGACACTTCTCTTTGGTAAACTAGAAAGTAGCTTTTCTGGCTTGAAGCCTTGCTTGCTTCTGTCACACCCACAATGGCACCTTTTGAGAGAACCTGACACTTATTTGAGCTGTTTTCTCTGTGCTCTTGTTCATGCTGTTTTGTCTCTTGTGGGCACACACCCTGACTTCCTCTTGTGAACTTGGTGGTAGGCCTCTTTCTTGTCGAGGGTTTTGTATTGAACAAAAACTGTAGCTCTCATAACGGCTAAAATAGGAGGCTGCTGTGTATCTTTACTGAAGTTATTTTTATTTTTCATCCAGCTGATCAGAGTGAACCTGCTCCATGCATGACCTTTCAAAGATGGAACGTCAAGGGAGAAGTAAAGTTACTCACTGCTGAGTGAAAGGAAACGAGAGTCCCATTTCCCTTTCCTTGGTCTTTAAGGTAATCATTGTAAGCCTCTTCATACATGGTCTGAACATGTCGGATAGCCTGAAAATATACCAGGGGAAGTGAGAGCACAGTGAGTGGGAAGTTTCAAATGTTCTCTTTTCAAACAAAGGAAAATCCTTTCTTCCATACCCTTCACATGCCAGTCCATATGTTTATCTGTATTTTAAAATGATTCTGAATATATGGAGCAGAATGTAGATGTCTAAGATGGTTTTGATGATGGAAGGATAGACTAACCAAGAATACTTTTCATAGACCAGAGAGGCTTTTTAGAGTGGAGGTTTCCAAACCTGATAAAGTTTCAGCATCAATTGGACCCCAGATTCCTGGGCTCCACCCAGGAGATTCTGAGGCATGGCCAGCACTGGGACCTATGCAGCCATGGTATTCCACTGGGTAAAAGCATTCAAGTCTCTTCATGACATGGTTCAAAAGTTGTTCACCACTAAGGACAATATTCTGAATTTAAATACCATGGGAAGCTTAGAGAACGCTATCTCTAGTATAAAGGTATATGACCCCAAATCCACAGAAATTTCAGAAGGTCCCAAGATCTAGTTTCACTTCTGTATGGAGCAAATTTAAACTAACCTGTGAATATAACCAGCTCCTTTAGAAAAATTTCAAAGAAAGCAGCATTTACTTATTTTACAGTACAATTTTAATAAATTCATACATTGTACTGGTGGCACACAAATTAATCTGAAATATAGCACACTTAAGGTTCCATTATTCCTTTTCCTGTCCATTCCTCTGCATGTTTCTACCCCTAAAAGGCCACTTCCTCTGTGGGTTCTCCTGATAATCTACTCTGGACACCCAGAGATGGACAGCAATCTAAACTGGCTTCACTAGCACATGCAGGCCAGGCTTCCATCTCTGAGGCCAAGTCTTATGGGCAAATGACAAGAAATGACAATGTATGTTCTTCCCCCATCCCTCTTTCTTATGTCTGTATTCCTGCCTCATTTTTAACTGGGGATAATCTTAAATTAGAGATTATTTAAAAAAAATCATAGACCACTTTATAAATCGATGAATGCTGTAACTTGTTTCCTAGGAACATTTATGCACACTTGTACACATGTATGCTCCATTCTGACACTACCTTTAGGTTACAAATTCTGCTTACACTACAATTTGGAGAGGCTATTTAATTTCTTAATAACATTATGGGTATCAATATCCTCATATCTTTTGTCATAAAGAGAACACTTTAATTATCATCTTTAAAAGTAAGTAATTTTTACTTACTACACTCTTGCCTATAAAAGCAAATACTCCAGTGGTCACTTCAGCAGCAAATATCACCAGTAGGCAGGTAAAAAACTGAAGAGGAGAGAAAACACTAATTTCATTAATTTAATACCTTTTCAATTTATTTACCTTTTTTGAATGTCATTCCATTGGAAAGGCAGGAGGCAAGGTTATGAGTTTGAACTGATTGATCTAACAGGAAGCATTTGCCCCTTAGTTTCCTTTATGCAGCAGTCATGCAGTTCATTCATTCAGCTATGGTTTGTTGAGTGTCTATTCTGTACCAGGTACCAACCTTGGCAGTAGTTAACAAGATCTCAGGGGACCTCATGTTGGACAGGGGAAGATATAATGAATGAGTAAAGGATTAACAATGTGAAAAAGAGAATTTCAGATAATGATATAGAAGTCTTACTATTTAGGACAGTGCCTGGCACTTTTCCATAAATACTCGATAAGCAAAAAAGGATCTATAAAGAGATAAAATAAAGTTAGAAGATAAAGTCACAAATAGGGCCTGAACTTGAGGGAGGATGTGACATGAGCCTTGTGTTCCCAAAGACTTCTCGGAAGAGAAGGAGTGAAGGTGAATGTGCGGGGGATGTTTCTGGACAGATTTTTATCAGGTCTTGGGTTTACACTGATCAAACGAAGTTTAGTGATGAACAAGACAGAGAGATACTCAGCAAGAGGAGAAAGAGAATGAATGGATAAAGAAACAAATGAGAAAAAAAAAAAGAAAAAAAGAGAAACAAATGAGACATTTTACATAGCAAGTGATCAGAAGTAGCACAGAGTCAGAAAGGCCAAAGACTGCAAAGAGACATGAGAGGCTGTCTAATAAAATGCTGTTTCAGTCCTCTAAGAGAGACATAGAAACTTTCTCTCTTCCCACCCCTCTTCCCGATTGTTTCTCTCAGGCTACATTGACATTGGCTGTATAGCAGTTAACTGAAACTATTTGACTTTTTTTTTTTTAAAAACAGAGGCTTCTGTTAAAATGAGCCACCAGAGGGATGTTTGGTTAAGTTACTGATCTTAACCTGAAATGCATTTCTTGTTGATAATAAGTCCTCCCTGGCTGAAGGAATCATTTAACTACCTCACCCATAGTGAAATATTATTTTTACAAGAACAATCATATTCACCTCTTATAATTGCTAGGCACTTTTTCTTCCCAAACATCTTTACACTAATGACCTTATTTTTTCACACTTTCCACATGAGGCAGGGACTAAGATAATATTATTTTTCTGAAGAGATGGAGAAACCCGAGACTTGGGGTGAAGGAAGGGGTACTGTGGGTTCTGGTGAGCCCTGGAGGAGTGGCGCTGCAGGCCAGTCTTCCTAACTCCCTCCGAGCCAGTTCTTCACCCTCTCCCCACCCCACCCTACTCCTGATAGCCTACTTACTGATCCAAGCACGCACTGTGACTCCCGCATGGCTCCGCAGCACCCGAAGAACCCCACAGCCATCATTAGGGCCCCAGCTCCAACCAGCACATAGAGTCCTGTGGGCAAGAGGTCTCACTGAGCAAAGCACCCCACTCTCTGTCCCCCCAGGGCCAGGGCACTGTCTCCCACCCATGACTGGGCTCCAGATTCTGGGCACTGCAGAGCATCTGGCTGTCAGCCCTGTGATGGCTAACACTTGTTGAATGCTTGCTGAGCCCTTCATGAAGAATGTTTCTCGAGGGCTTCTTTGAGGGCTTCTAATATCCCAGTGAACACAGAAGGGGCCCGGAAGCTTAAGGAGATGAAGGGTACTGCTTGAGGGCACATGGCCAGCAAGGTGGGACACCACATCTGCTGGTCTTTCAGAGCCGGTGCACTCAATTGTCACCACTGCCTCCTATGGGCCAGGCACTGGGTTTCAGGTTTCTACACCTTTGCGTGGGAAACTTCTATCATTGGCATGAGACCAATGACATAGGTTCTAGAGGAGGTCAGGAGCTGATGCCAGAGGTGAGACACAAACCCAGGCCTTCTCCTGAGCCCCTGGGCCTCTTGCACTCTGGACTTGACTGTGTCCATCTATGACAGGCCTCAGGCCAAGTGTTTGGGAGGGAGGAGAAGCTGCCCAGGCACAGAAGGGGAAGCTGCTGGGAGAGGGTGGGATTTGGGAGTTTGGGCTAAAGACAGGAACAGAGGACATGGCAATATGACATTGGTTGTGTGTATTTTCCCCTTCAGAGAGCAACAGCATAGACACTGGACCCGTAGAAGGCTGTGTTACAAGATAACAGCCAACGAGGGCAAGTAATATACATTAACAATATTATTAGCATCATGCTCTAACCAACTGAGCTAACCAGCGGTGAACATGTTATTATGGATAAAATATCAGCTACATGCATGAAGGTCTTATTTTTTCAGGTACTGTTTTATCCATGTAGAGAGTAGATTTATTAATATAACTTTCATAGAAGCCCTACGCAATATGTATTATTATTACCTCCATTCTTTAGACAGAGGAACTGGGTCCCAAAAGGCAAAGCAATTTGTTCAAGGTCGCAGAGCTGGTGTTTGGCAGAGCTGGCTCCTTGCCATCACTCCACCCTGCCTCTCCAGCAACAACACAGCCTTAATTCAGCTGGTGACTTCACTTCCTACCTAAGTCGACCCCAGAACAGTTCTCACAGAGAAAGTAAAGGGCAGAAATGCTCTGGCTCTGGAGACTCCAGCCAAGCCTTCCCTAATTTCCTTCTCTGATCCTGAGATAAGATGGAACACAATGTGAGACCTGGCACTTGGCTTACTTGCAATAAGCTAATAGTCTGTTTCATTTTTTACATTTTACTCAGATGAGTCACCTGGAAACCACTCCCATTCACAGGAGGTGGGGGGCTGGTGTCCTGCCTCTTTGGGGAACCATAGGGTTGCATTCAGGTGCTTTCTGGGCTCCTTGGGGTTGCTGGTAGTGGTTTGTGGGCAGGCCTCTCAGCTCACAGACATAAATGGAGCCACAGGGGAGGCTTCTGTGCTTCCTCTGCTGCCCCACCCAGGCCCAGTCATTCTCATGGCTCTTCTCAGGCCCGCTGAGGTGGCTGCTCTGCTCTTCCAAGGGAGGTGTGCATTTCCTCCCACTCCATTTTCTCTAAAGAGGAATTTAATGGAGGAATGGATGTGGTAACAAGAGAAATGATGCCATAGTAAAAATAATAGTGCTGTTGTCCCCACTGCCTGAATACCTTATTGTTTTTAATAATGTCTTTTCAAAACTGTTGCACTTCTTATCATTTCATTGGCTCCTCAAAACAACCCAGGTAGCAGGCATTTGTTTAGCAAAGAGGGGTCAGAGAGGCGAGATGGCTGGCAGCTTGGAGCCCTGATTCTCATCCATACTCCTCAAAGTAATGGGTGAATGAAGGGCCACAGCAGCAACCAGCCTGTTTTCAGTTCCTTCCAAGCATGTCACATGGGTGGACCATCATAGTATATTGATTTCTTGCTTAAACAGTTCATTGCCTCCCCACTGCCACTGGTACAACTGATGCATGATATAATCACAGCCCAAGGACCAGCCCCCTGAATCCACATCCATCCTATACTCCAGCCACGTGGGTATCACCATGATCTGACTGTTATGGTTTGTGTCTAGATGTCCCCACAAAACCTCATGTGCTCACAGGTGGGGCTTTTTCACAGTGACTGGATCTAGAGTGCGTGATGCTGAGATTAAGGGTGTGTGATTATTCAATCAATCCATTGATTGGTTTGGCATCACCATAATCTTGGCAGCCTAGATAGAGTATAAAAGGGGCAGAAAGAAGCTGTTAAGGTCCCTTGCTTGCTTTGCTACCTTCTCCTCACCATGAACTCTTTCTCCTCTGTGATGCCTGTCTGCTATGCAACCCTGCCTTGGAGCCAGCTGACCTTGGACTGAAACCTCTACAAACTGTGAGCCAAATAAACCTTTCCTCCTTTTACCTTTGGTGTTGGGTATTTTGTCTCAGCAACAAGAAAAGTAACTAAAACACTGACCATGCCCTGATCTCTTCTGATTTGTGTATCTGCCGGTTCCCATGATGTCTCTCTGTAGATTTCAGGTCCACAAACAAACCTTATTTATCTTCCCTAGAATATGCCAGCCCAGGCAGAATTCTCGATCTGTGTTTGTTGGTCAATTGAACAAAGAGAGTAAGTCAAATTAGAAGTTCTTGACTGGCTGCTTCATTACCTATCTTTGCTCAGAGATAGATGCTGGGAACCTGTGTCAGCAAATATCTATGAAGCCACTCTAGCGCTGGATTCTCTAAGGTCAAGCAAATGAGGATGGGACCGCCATATCCTAAGAAGGTCTAGAATATAAAAAGAAGAAGAGTGCCCTCGAGAAGGCCAGGTCTCAGTGGACACAGGGCCAGGAGGACAGAGGTACTATAACAGAGTAAAGAAGCTTGGCCTCTCTGGCAACAATCCTTACCCTTCTGAAACAGTCAATTCTCCAAGAAAATATGCATAATTGAACAATATTCCATGTCCAGGCTCCCAGAATCCCAGAGCTCATGGCAAAAACAACCTGAAACTTCCCTAGCAGTTCCACTCCTAGGGCTTCTTTCCAGCAAGCTTCTCTTCATGTCAGAGTGTGCATGGTGGCTCCCATTCCTGATGAGCACTGCTTGTGGAGCTGGAGGGAAATCCGAACTCTGCAGGTGGTAAAATTCCTCAGGGCTGCTGAACCCTGTTCCAAATCTGGTTGTAATACTCTGCATAATATAAGGCCATCTATGGCTTCCAAGTATACCTTATCCTTTATATGGCCTCCCTCTCCATAGAAAATAGCTGCTGGATGAATAAATAATTTGCAGCCACATTTTTAATTCAAAGATGGTTTCTTTAGAACACTCTGCCTCCCACAGCAGCATGCGTGACAGACATATGACCTATTTCCCAAGTCCCTCATGCTTTCTAATTCCTATTTCCCTTGATTTGAAGAGAAAAAAACTTTGAAATTGTATTTTTATCATTAATTAGTTGGGCTTTGTAATGCTAGTGATCTCTAGTGACATGGTACCAACAAGAAAGCACTTTCATCAGGACACCTTCTTCCCTGATGATTCCATCCCTCTTTCTCAGACTTCAGATACTTCACTTAAAGTAAGTAGCATCATTTCAGTTAACAGAGAAATGAGAGGGCTTCTTAAAGACCTGTTGGCATAAACTCATTTTAAAATGGCTTCCCCTTATAGTGCCCGGATATTGACATAGTCATTGACTTCAGTAACTTTTGGCAGCAGATGATTTTATATAACCTGCAAATGACCATTTTCAACTACAATGTTTATGCTTCTGCTAAAGACTCTTCCTCCGATCTTCCCCTAAATACATATAATTACAGTTCAGCCCTAGTATGGATGGGGAATTAGTTCTAGGACTGCCCCACCCCCCAAAACAAAATCAGTGGATACTCAAGTCTCTTCTGTAAAATGATGCAGTATTTGCATAAACCTATACAATCCTTTCATGCACTTTAAATCATCTCCAGGTTCCTTATAATACCAAATACAATGTAAATGCTATGTACATAGTTGTTATACTGTCTTGTTTAGGGAATAATGACAAGAAAAAAATCTGTGTTCAATATGGATGCACTTTTTGGAATAATTTTTAATCTGTGGCTCATTGAATCTACAAATATGGAATCCCTGGGCCAAGGGGGCCAACTGTATGTGAATATTTATTTTAGCATATGTGCTGCCGAAGTGAGCACTAAATATCTAGAATGTTATCTGGTACTTAGTTCAGGGACTCTGAATTTGACAGGGAGATGCTCTGTTTTATGCTCTGTTGGCAACAGCAGCAGCTGTCAGCTACTGAGTCCTGTTCTTGGCACTTCACTTGTCTCGGTCATGTAGTCACTTAGCACTCTTGGGAGTAGACATTGTTTCCTGGTGGCTCAGCCTGGGTAGCACCTGTACTATGCCCTTGACAGATATTACCTCAAAGATCCACTGGCTGAGAAGCTCAGTGCTATCAACTAGTCTGTAATCCTGGCCGAATGTCAGGTAGACCACTTTATCTCTTCCTCCTGTACTCTCCCACAGTCATGCCCCTAGCACACCCACTTCCTCAGCAGGGCCCCACGACAGTCACAGCAACCACCAGTGTCTCCTGAGGGCCTGCCTACAGCAGCATTGCACTAATGCACCTTCATTTTTCACAGCTCAGGAACCTGAGGCACAGACAGCACTTTACCTATGATTGCCTAGCTACCAAGGGAGTTGAGCCCAACTATACTCCTTTAACTTAAAGATACACTTGGGAGGAGATCAGAACAGTGACTCTTTTAGCTAGAAATCTGCTTATTTATGAATGGAAGGAGGGTTCTTCATCCTCTTCTTGAGAAAGTGCTTGAGGTATCTAGAGTTGATGATTCCTGGTCTTCCTCTCAAAGTACAGGGCTGGGAGCCAGAAATCAAGGTGTGCCAACCTCAGCTATATGAAACTCCTCTCATTGTTAAGTGTTGTTATCTGCACCATGGAACCAATTAGCAAATCTAATTTCTCATAC